CCCATTTGCATCCAATAGGTTTTCTTTCCAGTAGGTAGTCAACCAAGTTCCAAGTACCATAACATCTAAAGCATTCATCTCTTCATCATAGCATCACGCCAACAGGATGTAATAGGCTTCATGACTAGTTTAAAGGAAGGGACACATAGTCTAGTGATGCCACAAAAGAACAAAAAGAAGATGTAGGTGATCATAAGAACACAATGAAGGAATAGGTTAAGTCACCTGATGTTTACCTTTCCGAAGAGCATAAGAAGATCAAGATCACTCAAGGTTGGATCCAACGACGAAGAGTCTTGGGTAGGACAGGAATCTGAGTGTCTTCTTGATGAAGAACACATGTATTGGTCACTGGAGATTGGTCTACTAACGACAAGGACTAGTATAGAAGTTCCTATCGACGAGAATAACAATGCAAATAGAGTAAGTGGACGGACATGTGGTGGTGCCGGAGGAAGAACAGTAGGTGGGAGCCTCAGGTGTAGGATAGCTGGTAGGGATTGTGGCAGTATAATTAGTAGTCCATCGCTCCTCTGATGTGTATGGTAGACGAAGTAGGAAAAAAGGGGGTGTTTTCTAAGAAAGTACATCAGGTGACCACCAGATTCTATTAAGACTAGGACAATAACACGAATCCCTCTCTGAAGCGAGAGTACCCTAGAAAAATCACATTTAAGAGATTTGGGATCTAACTTGGTTACTTGGGGTCACATCACGACCAAACCAAGTACTACCAATATCTTTGGGGGCCATAGGAAACAAGGCTTAGACGGTAAATAACACTGAAGGAGTAGAACCATTCAGAATAGAGGAAGGCATGCGGTTAATTAGAAAACAGCCGTGGAAACTGCATCGGCCCAAACTGTTTAGGAACTTGCATTTGAAATAATAGGCTTGCGGCATTTTCAAGAAGGTGTCTATTTTTCTCTCGGCTACTCCATTTTGGGACGGTGTGTCAACACAAGAGGATTGATGAAGACTGCCATGCTGGCTCATATAAACGGAAAAGAACTCGAAAAATATTCTTTAGCATTATCACTTCTAATGTCTGACAGAAGTATTAATTGATTTTTACCTCAGCACAAAGGCACAAAAATGAGAAAACAACTCAGAAACGATTTTTCATTAAATAAAGCCAAGTTACACGAGAGTTGTCATCAACAAAGTAAACAAAATTTTAATCCAGGTTTAGACATAATGAACATGGCCCCAAACATCTGATGAACTAATTCAAAAGGACACTAAGCCTTTTTATTGACTCTTGGACTTGAAGAAAGACGGTGATGTTTGGCAAATTTGACATGACTCACAATCTACGAAGATATTTTATTAAACATGAGGACATAGTTTCTTTAACAATGGAAAGAAGGATGTCCCTAACCGACAATACCCTCAAAAGCGTCGAAATACTGGAACATGCCATAGTTCTAGGCACCTATGTGTCAAGGAGTAAGCCTCTCACTATTCTCGTCCTTTACCAATAATCTGCCTCGTCGTAAGATCTGAAAGTATATCAGGGAAAATAAGATGCAACATTAAGATACGAGTGAATTTACTCACAAAATTAAATTAAAGCGAACTGTGTGTAGACTCAATACAGAGGATAGGGAAATAACGGAGTAGGTTAACAGACCCGACCCGAGAAACAAGAAGTTGACCCATCAGCTAAAGTACCATTAGACGAGGAATTAGTGCTGATATGATAAAAGATACTACGATTACTTGTCATATGATCTGTGGCACAGAATCAATGACCCATTGGAGGATGAGGAAATAAGACATGTATTTGGTTTACCTGACTCGGCGAGAGCATTGATGGAAGTAGATGAGGACTTCAATGATTCTTGATACTGAGAAAACTTGACAAACTCATCAACTGAAATCATAACCTTTTTCTCAGAAGTATCAGTAGCGGCAACATGACTAACTGAGGTTCTTGGCCTTATTTACAACTTTCTGCACGTGCGCTTTGTATGACCGGGTTTCATGACAATAGTAGCACACAATCCCTCCTGACTCCTGACTCTGATTCTCACGATAATTCGACCCCTCTCCTCTATTATTGCTCTTGTTATATGAAATGCCCGTTGTCATGATTCTGACTTACAAGACACTACTCGATTGAACAATGGAGTGCTTTCTGTATGGAAACCCTAGTAAATATGTCTCGGAGGAGGTGATCTCAGAACTAGCAAGAACCTGAGATTTAGTAGATTCAAACTCAGAGGTCCAGCTAGGAAACTCATATCGCTTTTCTCTCGTTGAGCTTGTTTGAAGTTTCACATCATACTCCCTGGTAAAGATGTTAAGTTCTCATATATCCTTTTAAAATCCATAAAATAGGCCTGAAAGACCTATCTTGTTTCTCAGCTCGATAAAGCTTTGCATACATAAAAAATACGAAAACATTCCCTTTCCCAGAATACAAAAATCTAGATAGTCCATCATTCCTTCACATATTCCACATGATTAATTAACCAAGTACCTCACTGTTGATGGAGTTCCGTATGCAGAACACTAGGCATCCTCTCAACCATGTTTGCTTTGAATCGTCTTCAGACGAATCTTGGTGAGATGATCATCTTTATCAATGCTTCGCAATAGACGAATTGTCTTACTCCAATCAAAATAGTTATCAGACCCATTAAGCTTATGTTCCAAATTTTTGACATACAGGAACCATATCAATTATAGACTTATCAGTCATGGTAAGAAGACAAAATAGCCAACAAAAACTCTTCAAAGAACGAACTCTATACCAACAGAAACCCAAGAAAATTGTTTTGACCAGCTAAGCTACTGAGGAACTAATCACGCAGAATTGTCGAAATAACAAGACGGAAGTCAGGAAGGGTGATCAAAGTTCAGGGAATGGTCAAAAGCAGAAGAGGCTTCTTCCTATGCAGCGTGGAAAAACGGCCACTCTCCAAGGTGACTCACAAATAATACTCACCTTGGGCATAAAAGAAAAAAAAAACGAATTGAAAAGAACAACCTATATTGCTTTGATACCATGTTACAACACAAGAACTGATATATATTTTTCTTATTGTATTGACAAATAATCATCAATATATATAGGAAAATAAAGACTATCTAGGAAATAAATATTCTAACTTCATATTTTACAGATTTTGTTCCTAACATGTATTGATTACAATCTTAATATCCTATTATAGATTTATACACTTATCATGCAATACTTGTAAGATTTTGCATGATTATCTAAACAAACTTGAAAAACACTCAAACACGCCTGTGATCTCATAAAACAATTATGAAAATGTCAAGCATTTTTTCCAAATTAACCAATTCTCACAAATATCCCCACAAACCACTAAGTAATATGATTTTCAAGCTCTTATCACACTTCTTCTCCTTTCTTTTCTCTTTCCTTTTCCTTTTTCTTTCCTTCTTCTTTCTTTCCTTTCCTTTCTCTTCCTTTTTTCTTTAGTTCTTCTACCTCTTCTATGGCATGACAAATCCTGTCTCGCTCCCCCTCTCCAAGCCGCCTTTTCTTTGCGAAATGAGACTGTGAGATTTTGTTCTTATGGTTGCTCGGTTTTTGTTGTTTTTTACATTATCATTAAGGTTTGGAAGAACTAGTGGGTTGCTTTGATTGAATTTTTTTTTTTTTTTTTTTTTTTAGTATTGTTGGTGGTTGTTTTTGGACTAACACGTTAAACAGCCGAATCAAGCTCAGCATCTCGAGCTGACTTCAAGCCTAGTTTCCAGCTCGTGGACCACGCTCGAGCTCAAGTTTGCTAAATTTTCCCAACCAGTTTCAAGTTTTGTAGTGTTTGACTCGACTCGTATATCCCACTTAAGAGTGAAGTGTGTGATTTTTTGAATTTCTTTGAGATTTGAGATTTGAGATAGCTAAGAATCTCATTCCTTTGATTTATTAATTATCACTAATTATAGATTTATCTCATTCCTTTGAATTTATTAAAGTAATTAAATAAAATTGTCATCGTAAATTGAAAGAAAGGTAGAAAACATTCGACCAACGATCGAGTAATAAAAATTCATATAAAACCACCACCTGGTGGTCCAATAGTCGATTAAGACTCTTGATATATTACTCCAAATGTCCTGAGTTCAATCTTGTTTTTATAGGATGGTTTATTGAGGGATTTACCTGACTAACAACTTCAAGGTTTAGTTGAGGTGCGCAAATGTGGTTCAAACCCGTTGGTCAATAAAAAAAAAAAAAAAATCATATAAGATTCGTTTCTAGCCGCAACCAATTTCACAAGTTTATCTACTGCCAATTAACTTTCAATTTTGTGTCGGGTATTTAATATTTATAATAACCCTCACTTTGTTATTATTGGATTAATTATAAGTATTTGTCAAACTGAATCATCCCAAGCTTCATATTAATTTAATTTACAATATGAACTTAGTTAGCATGCAATAAACAGGTTAATCGAATCTAATAAGCCAACCAATCTTTAGTTTTGTTAGATACTATTAAATCTTTACCTCTAACCTAAATGTGACTTCCATAAAACATAATTACTATATTTACTATTTTTACAGAGCTTTTTTTTTTTTTTTTAATGAAAAAAATTTCGTATATTACTAGGATGTATAATAGAAAAAAGCTAATGACAAAATCTATCTTACATACATCATACATTATAAACAAAGCCTATACTTTATCCATACATGGTTGTAGAGGATATTTGCACCTCCTGCTCCAATCCAACTCCACAGTCAAAGAAAGACAAAAATAATTTAAAAACAAAAACAGCAGAACTCCATTTTCTTGATGATCGTCATTAGTCTCCTATTCACATAACGTCACACTTAAGCGTTTGGCTGAATTAGCCGTCCGAATCCTAACTCTAATATTATAATAATACCCATGTGTTTGATATTGAATAACAAATTCAGAATGGATTCACACTCACTCTCTCCTCCCTTCGCTTTAAATCTCTTCACCCTCTCCTCCTTCTTGTTGTTTGTTGGTTTGAGTAGAATTGAGCGTAGTTATGAAGAGATACGAATGGAGAAACTCTGGGATTTCGAGGTGGGAGGGTGGAAGAGAAGTTATTTTGGGGTTGGATGGGAACCACCTCACTGTCTGCATTTTATGCCCTTAATATCCTTGTCTGACCCTCTCCCTGACCCTCTTCCGCTTCTTGCTCGTGCCGTCGCTGCTGCTCCATCACACACAGCGTCGGCGGTACTACTTCTTTTTTATGTTTTACTCATGGCATTGGATTTGATTTCCAATAGGAATTGTGTCTGGAATTTTGTTGACAGTTAATTTCTTTATTCTGTTGTTAATTAGTTTTCGAAAAGATTTTTAGTTTTTTGCGATTGGGGATTCTGCTAATTGCGTTGATTTCTTAATATTTGAATTTGTTTGTATGACTGCTACAAAATTACATTTTGTAATGTTTGTAGACTTCTTAGGTTTTTTTTTTTTTTTTTTTTTTTTTTTTTTTTTTAAACATAATAGCTAAAAAAAGATATAAACTTATGCTTCTGTATTTTTATACATCTGAAATCATCCTAACTTATAAAGCTTCTATTGATGTCTTCAAAGAGGGTCTTGCTTCGAGTAAAACTCATGGCTACATTTGTGGCGACAATTGATTTGGAGAATCTTGATTTGATATATGTTGGCTATGTTATGGTCAATGTGGGTGGGAAGACTTTTTGAAATTTGCTGTGAGTTTTAGGGTTGATAATGGTTTGTTAGAACGGAGTAAACTATTGCAATTGTTGGCAAATTGTCAAAAATTTGTTAGTGTATTTACTGGTATTCATGTGTTTGAAAGACAGCTATTTTGTTGACCACCGCTATTGAATTGTTAGTTTGTCTGTGAATAAGGTCCTACTTTTTCTCTTTTGGGCATTGTAGAGCAATGCTCTAGTTGTTTTTCTTAATATACAACAATTGAATGTTAGATCTTAGTTTTCCTTTCTGGTGTTTCTGTTCATGTTTTGGTTCACGCACCGATTTTTGTGTAATTTATACATAACTACTATGAAAAGACTTAACATTCTAATGTGTTGGCAATGCAAGGGATAAACATATGAAGAGCATGTTCATTAGTCATTTTATTCGAATGATCCTCGATTTTTTTATTTTACAGAAGATGCTGCACGGGAGACTTGGAGCTAGTAATGGCCGACGCCCTTTCAAGTCGGTTCCAATCGAGCTGCAGTTCGAGCTGTTTGCTTGCAGTGTCTGGTGTTAACCATCCCACGATCAGTCAAAGAATACTGAATTGGCTTAGGTTTGCTCGCCTAAGCCATATTTTGCTTTTTCAATATTGTGATTAACTGATTTTGTATTTAAGGATAGTGTTATTTGTAATGTTGATTGATATGGAAATATTGCAAAAGTTGGAATATGAAAGCAATGAGTATGCTTCTTTACTTTTAATGAAAGATTGAAGGCATCTATGCCTTCTCAAATTGTGATTACATGGTAGACTGTACATAGGTCACAACAACTTTTTAAAGGATTAAATGACTTGTAAGGTAGTTGTTCTTCTCTTCCTATCCTTTTGTGCTGGCCAACTTCAGGCCTTTGCTGCTTAACATTATTTAGTTTAGCTGTCTATAATGCCAGATAATTATTTTTTTTTTCTTGTTCTACATCTGAATATTTTATTTAATAATCCATTTTCTAATGTTTTTAGCGTGTTGATTTGTGCCAGAGATAATTTCCCAGCAATGTAGACTATATGTCCATAACGACGCTGTGGCAGCTTTAGCTAGTGGACAATGGGAAGCTTCACGGATGTGTTCTAATTGCTGGTACAGGACAATTGCTTATGGTTTACAGAAGATGGCAAGAAGCCCGGGCTGCTGGTGCGGACCTATTCTAGGTGATTGGAGGTATATCCTTGTAACAGTTCTAGGTATGAGCTATCTTTTGGTTATGCAAAATGAATTTTCAAAGTGAAAATTGTGGATTCATCTCATCGATGATCTACGTGCACAAAACGAGATACTTTGCCAGGTTTATAAAGTATCACTTTTATTCTCAGGCATGAAACCTTCTGATCTATGCACTTCAGTTTTTGGCCTCAATTGATAATGAGGGACAGTTTCTTTGTCATTGGTTGGAGAAGACTTACTCTAGAAAACAAACCATATTCTGACATCAAAAAAAAAAAAAAAAAAAATACTAATTGTAAATTTATGCTTTCCGTAATCCTAAAAGAAGATCGTAGTTTTTCTTCTTGTTTGTCCCAAAATTAGTGCCATAGGGTGGACAATTTGATTTTGGACAAATTTAGATGTACAGGAAGAGATTTAGATATTGAAATTTTATTAGGATTTCAAATGAAATTTGTTGGACGGTGAATTTTGAATATTTCTGAAGTAAATGACGGTCATAAGTAAACCGTACATAAGCAAACTTTTTGTTGATATACTTTTTGAGAATGTTTTTACATTTTTCTCTGTGTCTATGCATTTGTGTATTTGTTCATAGAATGTGCCCTATATAACTGATCTTTGTTCACTTGCAGTGGATATGGTATAGCTGCACCGGCATTAACTGCGTAATAGGGCTTATGATGGTCGTGGCGCACATCAATGCTCATCTCATATCTTAAGGACACTTCACTTTCTTCCCGCTGATGAATTAATCGGGTATATGCTCTAGAATTAATATCTATTTCGTGCGGAAAAAATTCTATTGCATATCACTATCTACTCTAATGCTCTTATCCCTTGAAGGTACAGCGAAACTGTTAGCAATCTATGAGAGAGAAACCAATTTTGATCTGGCATGATGTACCTTTATGGTCTTCTGTTGGAGAGGTCACCTCAAAACACTTAACTATCCTACCATTTCATTCTAGGAGTCTGGAGATGTTATGGTTCATTTTGCTCACTTGTAAAGTTATTTTTCTCTCAACTTAAAATCCTTGTTTTTTTCCTTCCTATCCTGAAATCAGCATGGTCCCACACCTTTCCCACCTTATTGAGGAGAATCTTTCTCCAAATTCCTCATATGTTCTCCACCCCCATGCTTATTTTGTTTTCTTTCTTGGCTTTGCCCTAATTCTTTACATTGCTTTAATGTATTATCTGGGATATGGTCCCATTCTCTTACATTCCATAATATTGCATGATTCTTCTTAATACCTCTGTATTTTTATCTCATTATTCTTGTAAAGGTACTGATTAAACTTAGGAATTACTTATTTTAAGTTTTTGGTTGTCTATTGTAGTTGGGCTAATCTTGCAATGTTGTTAAATGTCCGGTGCATACATACTCTTATTTTTTCTTAATGTATACCTGTTTTTTTATGTGTTGTGTGAAATTTATTTTAGGAGGAACAAATGGGTGAATAGAAAATTTATGGAATTTTTATTTTATAATATATCTTTTTGAATTTCTCTCTCTCTCTCCTTTTCTTCTAATGTAACAATTTATCTGCAAAATTGTTTAGGAGACAGATGTGTTGTAGCTATCTATTTAAATTTGTAGTGTTGAGAAAGTCTTTAGAGAACTTCTTCTTATGAATTGGATCTGTACTGCCACGACATATTGTATATCTATTCTGTTTCACAAACTTGTTCTCGCACTGGTATTTAGGTGGACCTATGCTGATCCATCTTGGGCTCGCATTGCTGCACTTGTTCCGGTTGTTGTATCTTGTGCAGAGGCAGGCTGATGAAGTTGCAAATACATATTCTGCTAGATTCGGTACAAGAGTTGCTTTAAGTGTGAAAGCTGTTGTTAAGAGACTTGGTTTGTGTGGCGAGGTACACTCAATTTTAAAGAATATGTGCCACCTTTTGTTTTTGTGTTTTCATAAATTTGGCGTCTTATATTTATACTTTGTATGAAAGATTTGACTTTTCCCTTAAGATATTTGCTGCTGTATGTCAAAGAAGGAGTTTTGATACAATGTTCAAAGAGGAGCGAGGAAAATTTTCAACACTTTAACGCTATGTTAATTTGATCATTGTGGTTTTGCTTTTAAGCTGATAACATTAGTTAACAACCAGGTAATATTAAGCATGTAACCAGTGGTGAAACTTGAATGATAAGAAATATGTGTGTTTTAAATGTATGAAGTTGTTTCCTTCTGTAAACTGGGCTACTTCCAGACCCTACAACCTTAATTTGCCAGAAAACTTGTGAGATATCATATCCCAAGTAGTGGCTGAAGGAGATTTAGTCCTTGACCTCTTAGTTGTACCTAGGGGTTTTACTACTAATCCCAATCCATAGGGGTTATAATTATCGATAGAACTATTAACATTGTGCTAATCAGGAGAAATATTTTTTTTGTTGTACCCCTGTCAGTTCTTATGTTCTTGCCATATCAAAGGTACTTCTTATGAAAAAAGAAAAGAAATGGTAATGGATAATTCTGTCATCTAATCTATGATAGCTCTACCATAAAATCCTTTCATTGCATTGGGCTAAGTCTGTGAATAAATCATCATGCAGAAGGAAAAAATTCCTTTCCTCTTGTCATGGTTGGGGTGTTCTTGAAGCAAACAAAAGCTGGGATAGGAAAAGAGTCATAAAATACATCTCTAAGGAGTTTCCTGGAGCTTTTCATTAGACCAAAGGTATGCATCTAGTCGGTTACATGTAATCTCCTGGCAGCTGCTTAAGTATATAATGCAGGTGACATTGTAGACATTGGTTGTACGAATTATCAGCTCTTGTTAACCAAGTTAAGAAGCTGTTAGCGGCTGGAACTGAATTTTATGTATAAGATTTTAGTGAAATTTTCACAATCAGAACCTAAATGAAAAAAAGGATATCTTAGCAACATAGCTCGGTTAGGAGGAAGCGATGATACACAGGCACAAGGAAAAAGATTTCTGATCAAGACTGCATCTCCTGATATACAGACGTTACTTCTCTTGTTGATATAAGAGTCTGTTCTGTAACTTCTGTTCAAGTGGATTGGCTTATAGAGTTTATTATGTGTAGTTCCACTTAGATACATGAGTGCAAAGCCTAATCATAAAAGGGTTACAGATTTGCCTAGAGCATAATCTTACATATAGAGTATGGTGCAATTGAAATTAAATATGAATGATTTATCGTTTCACCTTTATCTGATTGGTTGCGGATGTGATTTCTTTCATATTTTGATATATACAATTCGTGCTCCGGTTTTCTTGTACTGACATCAGGTTTGAGCCTGCTGTGGGGCAGCATTGCTGGCTTGGATACATATTGAATGA